TGCGTGCGTGCGTGCCCGCGTGCGTGCGTGAGAAGTAGACCCCTACATGTACGAGGGGGGGTAAGTAAGTCTTTAGTCTTGGTATGAAGGAATCTTGGTAGAGTAATGAAATTTCTCCAGCCTTTAGACAATTCTTTGGAACACATCATGCAAATGTTAGGGACAATTCCGACAATAATAAGGCACTAGCCAGCGTGTTCAATGAAACCATGCACAAAAACGTTTATTTTTCTTTTGTGCCATAGAGCCTGTTGAATATCGCCCGGTTATCAAGTTTTTACACTTGCAAAGAAAATCCCCTTTGGACATTTTTTAGGAAATGGTACACGTTTACGGTGACAAATGTCCTCGTTTTAATACTTTGACGTACTGGGTAAGAGAATTCAAATCTGGATTCATGTCGGTGATGGAAGAAGATCATGAAAGGCGCACATCCTTTGTGGTAACTGAAGAGAATGTACCCATTGTATCAACAAGATCGACATATAACTGTTAAACAGCTCTCAAGTGAAACGAGAATCAGTGCAGGGTCAATTTAAACGATTCTCCATAACCATCTTAACATGAATAAGGTGTCTGTGCGGTGGGTACCCCGCCTTTTGACAAGTGAGCAAAAGAAGCAGAGGGTTGAGTCCTGCAAAACCCTCCTTTGAATTTAGTCCAATGACACAACTTTCTTTAAAAACATGGTGACTATGGATGAAACATGGATCTATCATTTTGATCCAGGACAAAATATGTCCTCCATGCAATGGAAAACCCCTTCTTCTCCCTCACCAAAGAAGGAAAAGGTAACACCATAAAGTGGAAAGGTCATGCTGTCGTGGCTCTGGGATTGGGAATGTATCATCATGACTAACTAGCTGGAATATTTTTAAAAAACCAGTCACAGGAGACTACTACTCGGGTTTGCTGATCAAACTGCACCTGAATTGGTGAAAAAAAGGTGTGGGAAAACTCTGTAATGGGGTCCTTTTACTGCATGAATGACAACGCATCTGCGCGCAGGGCAAAACAAGCAGTCCAGACAGCAGAACATGCGGCTTTTAAATCATGCCACACCCAGCTTATTCACCAGACCTAGCTACCTCAGACTTTTTTCTGTTTCCTAATCTTTAAAAAAATCCGCTCAAAGGGCGTCGTTTCCACGACAACGAAGACGCCATTGAAGCTGTTGAAGACTAGTTAGCAGCACGTTCTGGGTCATTTTTCTCTCAAGGACTTTTGAAGGTCAAAGACAAGACAGGTGACAGAAATCTGTTACTCTGCATGGTGACTATGTAGAGAAATAAAAGCATGTGTGCCAAGTTACAAAACTCCATCTTTATTCCTTCATATTTAGCTAATTTAGATCAAAGACTTACTGACTCCGCCCCCCGCCCCTCGCATGTCGTGTCGTGTAATATGCGTTTGTCTGTTTCATAATTTGTCTACCTCTGTGCTCGTGTGTGTTTATCTGTAATTCTACGCTTCTTTAACCCCCCCC